CGCGCCGTTGGCTTAGATCATTCTTTCACTTCTGTTGTCGGACTTTGTGGTTGAATGTTCGTAACGAAGCGCTAGAAGTAGGCCTCGATTTTCAACCGCAGCTTTCAAAATAAGGCGCTTTTCAGTATTTCACACCGGAAATAGGGGACCCACATTCTGCAGTCTGGAATAGTGGAGAAGAGTGCTCTTACGGACGATGTAAAAGTGGCCAAAATTCGGATGGCTGATCAATGGAAGCAAGCATAGGTTTGGCCACATGTTTTTACAAAACTGCCATCTGAAAATGGCATTGCACTTGGACTAACTGTTCTCTTGTCCGAATTAGCTCTCGCATGATGGCCATCTGACTGCGACTGTGAAGTTTCTACCCAGTCAGGTGGTGTAGGAAACATACAAACTGGCAAGAAACGTAACCTCTGTGACCTTGAAGCTTGAAAGTTGACCTTGAAGCTTGGGACCATACATTTTCAAACGTACCATGTTTTAAGCCACGCAGTTCAGACTCCTCAACTCACCACTGCATTCTAGGCGTAGGTCTGGAAGACGGAGTTAGTTCCACAATACGGCACGGATCTGATAGATTGCAAAAGGACGGAAGAAATAGGATACGTACCGCGATACGTCTGTGTTGCGTGCCATGCAGGATATTGTCCTGTATCTTTTGTGCTTATCCAGGCTGTGAGTTTATAAAGCAAAGCTCCCACAAAGTACGATTTGAACCTTAAAGTAGACTAATTAAGCTTGACTTAGCAAAGTATCTACAAGGGAGCTAGCGGAAGTGGACTTGGTCGCTCTACAGCAACAGAAAAGCACTAGCTATTTTTTAGACAAGTTGGGCTGCGCGGGTAACCTTAGTAAACTCCTCGACATTGACAGCAAAGTTCGCGGACATAAATTTACCCGTTGAGTTCCAAATCTAAAGAAGAGAGAAGCAAGGATGCACTTTCAACATGGACCTGTTTGGTGACCTGCATTCAAGACAAAATACTTTGAGGAGCATCACCATCGTCACCACCATCACCGGTGACTGTTTATGCAACAAAGATCGATTCCTGGTGAGTGCATCACTTACTGGGTTCGACGTCCTTACTGGCTCACATTGGAATGTTTTCAAAAGAAGTTCCCTTTGTTCGCCCCTGCCAAAGACAATATGAAGCACGTGACCAGACGAATGGTCGTCAGATAGGCCACTTAGAATTTAAACCATGCGGAAAGCTGATGAGCTCAGCACACGAGTCACCAACGTCCGCACAAAATTGGACCATTTTAACGAGGTGCAACTACCAGTTGCACTCAAAATCGACACTTCATTGTTGTAACTACAGTATCTGGTTTCACCTAAAATGACTTTGTACGTTTTTCTCCCATTCAGTTGGATATATCCAATCTGGTACATCGAATTCCTTCTTCATCGTTGCCCCGCTGACGATAGCTTCGGGAGCCAACCATGCCTCCTTAGAGGCGTGTTACCCCTCTTAGGAAGGCTGGTAAGCCACAATTTAGGGGATTCGGTGGATAACGCGGACGTTTCATCAGATCTTCGGGCGATCGCTAACAAGTGAGACCACTTAAGTTCATTGAATTGGTCTTAAAAACGAGATCATGGTTGATGGACTACTATTGGACCTATCTATTGAAACTTTGAAAAAGGGCCCGTTTGTTCCCTTTCCTATAGATTAGTTAGAAACGTCAAGTTCCACTCGTACTGCCCACCCAGGTATCGACCAAGCAAATCTTAGTTATAAACGGAACTTCCAGTCAACATAGACACAAGTACATGGGTACGAAAGCTTGCATTTACTGCGACATTTCCAGTGCCATTTATTCATATATAACCTGGGTAACATCCTCTGATAATTGCATTTAGATTCTTTCATTAATGATTGATGAGTACTCAGTGAACAGGCAGCAACAGTGAAGAAAGTGATTCACGAAATACGCTCATATGCAAATCAATTTGGTTTTCACGAGAGACTTAACTAAATCTCTCGTTTATGATATTCTACAACTGAATGTGGTGCAGACAGGCCGCCTCATGTTTCAGTTGGCACGATATTCGAGATATTGCAGTATATTTTCATAAAGGAAACTACTCACGAGGTTGCTGAAAACTCTTCGACAGCCCACGACCGGTTTCGTCCTTCTTGTGGCTCATCAGGTAGGCACAGTCCCCGAGTTTTCATCAACATTATGTTCTACTTGAACCCAAATTGCACTGTTTCAGCAGCCTTGTGAGTAGTTTCTTCCATGAAAAAAGTGATCTAGGCTTTGTGTATTACAGCATACAAAAACCCATGTTAGACTCTCTAGGACACTAATCAAATGCACAGTGAATTCACACAAACGGGTCTGGTAGACTGCACGTCACATGGTCAGAATTGTAAGGTCGAAGTGATCCTCCAATGGCATTATTATCCGCTCAATAGGCAATAAGATCATCATGATTACGACCTTTGTAGGAAAAGACCGTTTATTAATGCAAGCCAAGGTGCACAATCAACTGAGGAAACTGGGGAATGGACATTACAATTATAACGATATATCTACTTATCCCTCGGGAATATCAGGCACTGCTAAGTCTCGGAAGAGTCGAAAGGTCTTGGTTAGCAAACGGATTGCACACACAGAGTTGAGATGCATATGCAGCCTGAACACACCTGGTTGGTATGAAGCAGGAAAAATGAAGTCAGATGATATCCTTGTAATGTACTACTCATAAGGTTGCTGAAAATCCGTCGACAGACCACGACCGCTTTCTCCCTCTGTGGGGCTCATCAGGTAGACGCAGTCCTCGGGTTTCCGTCAACCTTATGTTCTACTTGAAACCAAATTGCACGGAATCAGCGAATATACGCTCATTTGCAAAATAATTCGGTTTTTTCCAGAGACTCACCTGGAACCCAACTGAATCTCTCGTTTGTGATATTCTCAGGTGAGTCACTTGAAAAAAAAACAAATTAGTTTGCAAATGAGTGTATTTCACTAATTTCGTGCAATTTGGTTTCAAGTGAAACATAAGGTTGGCGGAAACCCTGGGACTTCGCCTACCTGATAAGCCCGAACTGGGAGAGCGAAACCGGTCATGGGCTGTCGAAGAGTTTTCAGCAACCTCGTGAGTAGTTTCCTTTATGAAAATATACTGCGATATTTCGAATATCGTGCCAACTGAAACATGAGGCGGCCTATATGCAACACATTCAGTTGTAGAATATCATAAACGAGAGATTTAGTTAAGTCTCTCGTGAAAACCAAATTGATTTGCAAATGAGTGTATTTCTCGAGAACATGAGTTTTGTTCAGTTATTATTCATTTGCACTGTTTTTGCTTTTGTATTAGAATACATATCATCTGGTTTCGTAGTTCTTCTTCGAGGCGGTACGTGTCCGGTTGACAAAGGTAGAATACCACCGAACAGACTAGGGATTTTGCAGCAGTAGGATTCCGAGAGTCACAGCCAGCTGTTCGGTTATCGCAAGAGACGCTGAATACGGCCTGCGCGAAAGTGAGGTGTAACTCGCTGCTTCAAGGCTGTATCTCGGTATTCTCGGAAGGCGCCTTCTAAAAAGACAACCTCACAAGGCTCACTATCTCCCATACAGTTTGTGCTTGTCATCCTTCTTTTTTTCACGGTAGTGTCAAGGTCATGATGACTATAACTCATGTGTGTGTGTCACACATGCTTGCATCTTAAGGTATCTCTGGGCTACTCGGGATCGAAGAACATGCCCCAACATTTCAAAGTGGTCTGTCAATACAATTCACGGTACTTTTGCCACATATCTACAGCCATCTGACCGAATCCAATTTGAAGTAGTGAACAATGCAACTTTAACAGACCTCCCGTGCTCCGGACCATATAGTCTTTGTAGTGAACTCTGCTGTTTGTTCACTTGTACCGCAGAGCGACTGAAAGTGGATGGACTTCACCCCATACTAATAAAAATAAACTTCTGAGTAGTGTTTTCAGTTCACCGTTTGTTTTCCATTGCTCATGAGGTTTTGTGGTTGACCTAGAACCAACCAAACAGGCGGTCGTTTCCAAGGTCACATTTTAGTGAAAGGCACCAGACCAATCAAATTTTACATATGCACAGAATATTTCGAACCTCACCCAAATACTTTGTCCCGATTAACTGCTATGTGCTGTAAATCTGCGCGAATTGTGGCGTGAAGCACACGTCGTACTACAAATTAGGCCATTCGCATCCGGGAACGTCGAATGATCAATCAAATTCAGTCTAGTATCGTCTATCCTTAAAAGATATTCACCCGCAACATATTCGACCTAGTAAGACAAATACGTAACCGAGCTTGTCATATTTGACATGTAAGAAGGATGGTTCAATCTGGGTTAGATAGACGTGCATCTTTGTGAACTTGCCCACCACCCGCCCCCGCTGACTGGCGCACAAGTTTGATCGATGGACCATGTTTCACACTCTATTGTATGATATCCACTGTCGCATTTTATTAGGGCAAGCAAAAAACTGCACCTGACACGCAAATAATCTAATTAGCTTTATAGAATGCAGAGTGAGTTCTTGGAAATTGCTCGAGATTGGATACTTTGGGGGGTCTTGCAAAGAAATCTCCAAAAACGTTGCCCTCACCCTGGTTAGTTAAGGTGGCTGAAAAATTGGCGAGTGGCAAACGTGTTGTTTACAACCCGGATTTCGGTACTAGGAATTGTTTTATTTTCAACGCATTAGTTTAAATATAACAATTGTCGGACGGTGGTGGAAAGAAAGTACAAGTCCGACTTTTGATACCAAAAGTTCTCTGGATGATATGGTGTCGGGTGGAGCCAAAATATAAAAAAATCATGCCAGTTAGCATGTGACCACGTGATGTGAATCACTTGACAGAGTGATGAGTGGTGCGATCGGCTTGTTACCGATCGGTATAGGCTATAGCACGTGTTCGGAAGTCTCGAGTTCGAACCTCTTTAGGGATTTGTGTGTGGGGCATTACTGATGATTCCCAACGGACGTTCAATAACCTTCTTGGATGAGGACCACGTGATGCCCATTTTATCTGTCTGCCAATCGATATTAGTGGTGTTCTAGCAGTCAGTTTCTCTCCAGTGTTTGTATAAGTGCCCGGAGGTGTAGGCACATGAGAACGATTGTGGTAGGCTAGTGCTAAGTCCCATCCTCTTCCACTTGTATTCTTCATTTCCACGATATGGCTTTCAAATAAATTATGCTTTCGCGACAGCAGAGCGTCGGTGGTGGACATCGATGTTATCCTGACGATGAAAATAACAGGGCTGCACTTCCACAGTTAAAACAAACGTGGGTTGATATCCCTTATTTCCAATCTCTGTATGCAGTGTAGTTTCAGCAGACTAGAATGAGGCAGACAGCGTAGATTTCGAATAGGAGGTGTTTCTAAATATACAATTTCTGGCTCGATGAATGCTTCAGAACTGTTTTGTTCTACGAGATATACCCTCTTGGGACCGACCTTAGAAGGCCTTTCATAACAAATCGCTCATCCTTAAGAGAATAACATTCAGGTTTTCTGTCCAGCGTAGGACTGGTCTGTGCTCAGCACAGCCCCTTTACTGAAGAGTAACTTCACTACAGAATCTAGCCCAGTTAAGTGTGGTTTCCACCTCACTTCTTCTGCATATGCTCCCACAGACAGTTCACGGTGGTGATCTCCAGTGACAAGCTAGTTGCTGGCCTGTTAACCAAGCCTAGCTGTTGGTGTACAAGCGTTTCATCATTAATCGAGGTGATGCAGACAGCGTGGGTTTGAATGGGTGAATTCCTCCTTTTCTACCTGAGTTTATATGGTTTTCATACAGCACCTAACACCTGTAAATCGATTGGTTGGTCTTGAGGTGGTTTTCTCGTGATTTGGTTGGTCAGTTTAGATTCTGAGTTGCTTTGTTACCCCAGTTGCCTATAGCTGATTGGTACGTTGGGTGCCATTAGTCCCACAATTCTTTCCCTCCGTTTTGAATGGACCCCTTTCCTTCTTGCTTTGCGGCCCGAGTCCGTTCCACTTATTTGGTTGCTTGAGTGTTCACGGGCTTGAAGACGACTGTTATTCCATTTCGCTAAGTTTCTTTGTCGAGATTCTCGATATGGAACCGTGAGTCACACGTAGGTATGACTGATCTGGACGTCAAAACGAAGAACTCGGTTCGTAAGTCTACGCTAATATTTGTTTCTTTGTCGAGATTCTCGATATGGAACCGTGAGTCACACGTAGGTATGACTGATCTGGACGTCAAAACGAAGAACTCGGTTCGTAAGTCTACGCTAATATTTACAAAAAGGTGAGCAAAGTTATTAAAAAAACCAAGTTACCCACGCTCAACATGTGCGCAAGGCTGTAAGTGACCGGCAGAACGCAGTGTCAAGGTCATCAAACCAAACATCGGCGAGCTGAATGTTAGCTCGTTAGAGTGAGTTAAGGTCGTCACTTCCGAGGCCAGTCTCGTGACTCCGATTAGCGATTACACGGAAATCATGACAGAGCAGGCAGGTCAGGGCAGACTCGGGGTAGGGACACGATTGGGTAGGTAGATCAGCTGCGCCCACTCACACACGATAATATGTCTGTGTCGGACAGGACGACAAGGTGAATGGAAGCTACACATGAGCAAAATGATTGCAGATCAAAATATACGGGCGGAGTAAACAAATGAATGGGGGATTGTAATGAGGTCGAGTTAGATTTTATGATCTTGCAGTCATTTCCGCCACGTTTTTGACGTACAAAAGCATAGTCTCTCTCCGTTTTGGCTGTTGATTTTGCAAGCATCTCCACAGAAAGTTCCTTGGGTAGCCATTATTTTAGAGTCTTCGTCCTTTTTTCGTCTTCGACCCTGCTGAGCTGTAGTGTATCTTGATCCGCTCGAGTAGGGTTCGTACACAGCTCCGTTTGTGACAATTCGGCTGTTTGCTGTAGCACTTCAGAATCTGGTCTGCGTGCGTTCATTTCGTACATACTTCAGTCTACAGTTGGCCGTCTGTTGTCTTTGTGACGGGGACGTCTAATAACGCCGAGTTTTTGTCCTCGTCCGTTTCCATTGTTCAACGGAAATCGAGAAGGACAATATTCAGCATTTGGTTCGCTTGTGACAGGTTATTTTTCTTTACCGGTGGAAATATCTCGTCCACATATCGTACCCATATTTTCGGTCTGATATCTGATAGCAGAGTCTGCTACTGTTCTTTCATTGTAATTTCCTCGATGAATCCGCAGTTCAATGATTTCATTGACACGCCTTTGAGTTGTTCATAATGTTCTCCTTTGAACTTGAAGTAGGTTGTCAATCATAAATCTGGATCTCTTCTCCCAACAGTTCTTCTTATGGTTCCAGATGTCTAGCAGCCGTTGTCCTTGCTGCATTCAAATCAACCGATGTTATCAGTGAGGCTACATCGTAGCATATCATTGTTTCATCTTCGATTCCCAATGAGCATGTGCTTATGCTGAGCTTCTGTTCTTCTTATCATTAGGGCTACTGACCCCATAGTGACTCCTAATAAAAAAAACATCGGTACAACGTGTTGACACAATGAAACGCGGTGTCGTGGATTTTTTGATTGGAAAACCAACATTCCTCTAATTGGAACTCCAAACCTCGAAATAACCAACCACACTGGTAATTCTGGATCGATTGCCTTTCACATGTAGTTCAATTCGTCTATATGCAAGGTTCCAGGTCTTGTGAAGAGTATTTAATAGCTTGTCGTCCATAACTACAGGGAGCGGTTCTTTAATTGAAATTCCACTTTTTTCAAATGTAGTTCACAAAGGTAAACCACATCAATGTTCATATGACCCAACCTTGAGTTGAATCCGTTCACTCTTCATCTACGTGAATAATGGTTCGTCTAACCGCCAAGTTCTTAGACTGATATTGACGTGATTCCATTGTACGGCACTTCAGTAACCTCAGCTTGTGATGCCTGCTCATTTGCGTGTGCTCTTCTTTGCACCCCATGGTTTGCCACTCACGCTCAAAACCCAACACGTAAGGTTCAATGGAGGGGATTGTACTTTGCAAAAACATTTCGCTGAGGACATCGGCGGCCAAATCTGGCCACTGAAAATAAAACCAAATGAACTTAGTTTTTGCGCACTTTTTGTCAGTTTGAGGATTTTTTGAATTAGACAATTTGTTGCTAGCTTTACGTCGACTTCAATCTGTCACCAAATCGATGGAAGACGACTTAAGCCGACTTACGATGACTTTGAAAAGGTGTGCTTTCACGATATTCGAGAAACCCTAGGCATTGTATATGTGGATCGCAGAAGCAGTCCGGTAAGCAAGGAACAAAAACTAGTGGATAAATTGGAGCACTTTGCTCAGAGAACGGTACGCTGATGTGTAGAATATACTCCGATGCTAATCAAACCGGTCGTGGGCTGTCGATGAATTTTCAGCAATCTAATAAGCAGTGCATTACGAATACACATGTATCGCGATATCTCGAATATCGTAGCGACTGAAACATGAGGCGGCCTGTTGCAGCACATTCAGTCGCCTGGATACATCACAAACGAGAGATTCAACTGTGTTATAGGTGAGTCTCTCGCAAAACCAAATTAGTTTGTAAATGAATGTATTTCACTAATTTCGTGCAATTTGGTTTTAGTAGAACATAAGGTTGACGGAAACTCGGGCACTGCGCCTACCTGATGAGCTCCAAGAAGGGCGAAACCGTTCGACGAACTTTCAGCAAACTTATGAGTAGTGCACTACGAATATACGTTGTCATAGTACTTATCAGGTCACCGTTAATGTAAGCGATTAACTTCTTCGAATACTCCCCTAAAGGTCAGCACAGTTTAGCAGTTAAATTATCTGAGCTTCCGTCCCGAGAATCACTGCCCGACCATTTCATTTTTACTGGAAGTCATCAACAGTGCGCACCTCACGAAACAGAGATTTTCTATCCTGCGACCTTCCGGTGAGACCCCGACACTTAACCGTTCGGTCACGAGGGTGGAAGTGTGATTATTTCGCACTCGCAACATCACTCGTCGTCCAATAAAGGAAACCACACCACGTGGTCACACGTTCTGACTGGCTGTTCGAGTGACAACTTTTCAGCTGCAAGCTGTCGGCGCAAGTTAACCGCAATCGAATGTAAAAAAAATCGTTCGGCTTTAACACCCTTTCGACGCCTAGCTGCCATGCCGCCAGAAGGAGGCACGAGGGCTATAATCCTGTTGGGTTGCCAAGTCTAGANNNTAGACAGAGGAATTCGGAGGCAGAGGTCAGTTTCGAACCACGGACCTTCCGATAAGTAAATTCGCTCTATCTAACCACTTGAGCCATCTCACCCCTCATAATCGAATGAGCCACCCTTGGTTCCAGACTATTAACTGGAGAGTCATGGATTCGAAACCCTCTAGAATTTCGTGGGGTTTTGACGCTGATGATAATTCTTAATAGCAATGAAAGTGCTGTGCGGTGCTTTCCAACCTCGACTGTCACTACTATTTACTGGAAATTACCGAATTTTCTCGCACTGTCATCCGCTAGATTGGTATTTCTCATGTCTTTTCCAGATTATTCTCCACTAGCTAAAGAATATGATGGGTTAGCGCTTTCGCAGAGCTGGCATTCATGCGGATAATACCAACACATCGAACGAGACATCCTCCTATAGGTCGCAATTTAAATAGATTTTCTTTCCTCATCTAACCTACATGTAGCTGGAGCATGTTGAAAAATCAGGCCCCACCAAACCCCATTTGTACATTCCACAACAGTCGACTGACAACGTAAACACACATATTTAGCAAGTCAACTTCCTACAGCTGTTCACTCTCAAATGTCAGTTCGACCTCGACAAATTGCTACACTTTTTGCATCATACCATCCATAACAAATTTATTGCATATGACTGACTGGGAAACAACTACTGTTCGGTATTCTTATGTTGTCTGGCTTGGTCAGAATTTTTCCCAACGGCAGTTACCTCTCGTGGACTGGCCCACGGCTACATCCCAAAGTCACGTGCTCCGCAGCTGTGTAGTTTGCTAAAGTCCTTCCGCCCACTTGACAACAGTATCTACAGTCTGCACAAAGTTTTCTGTTCTCTGATCCTACCAGTTCAAGCCAGAAACTTTAGTTTTCGGTGTGATGGATTTCGGGGTACTGACACGACCTTGAGTTCGGTCTTGTAAACCAATGTGAGCAGATTGATGGAGTTGTGCGCGATAGCGCACTTTAGCTAATCATGGTTACAAGTGGATGGTAGTCCAAACTGGAGTTGTTTAAGCATAAATTCTACAAAGCCCGTAACCATCTGCACTGATAACCAGCTACTAGTGGTCAAGTGTTCAACTGATAGCCGGGATTTTGAAATTCCACAGAGTTTCATGGAATATCCTGATGATGATTCCCAATAGGGATGGAACATTTCGACAGTGAATACCGATTTTTCGGGCTTGACCAATTTCACTGTAACTTTCCCACTTTCCCCACACTACCAAGATGTGAGAGGAAGAATAACTCACGCGGCGAGCGAACCTTCCACCAGAGAAGGCGTCCCTCGAGGTGCTTGTCAACGCGTTACCACGCCGTGTGGAGTCCACGACTGAATGATGGGCAATGCCATGTGCTGCTCAGGTGCGAGTTACACTCGCTGCTGATCGACCGCTCGTGTCCGATCGACCAAGTGTTCAAACTAACAGGTGGGAAGTTGCGGGTTTGGATTGTCCTGGAATTTCATAAGATGTACACATCACTTGGAGGATGAAATCTCGACCAAGTCTCCAATTGACTGGGTAGATCTTTTCCCTTTGTATGATGTGGACGAACACGCTAAGTCGTCTATTGAAGTGGTGAGTAAAATCTGAGTGGCGACTTCTCAATTATCGTGCAACTCTGTTGAGATGAGAAAGCCTATCACTCTTGTGCACTTAATTACTATAAACCGTTTTTCTCTGATCCTGGGAGATCATTAAACTTCAAACCGGTTCATCACAGTTCATGTTCGGATGGCACATCCCAACAGAAGCCTTTCCGTACCAGAATTCTCCTTTTGAGCATGTTTATTCTGGTTTTAGTCGTCAGCGACCGAACCAGTACGCAACAGGGCAGTTTTTTTAATTTTGAGCGCAACCTGTATCTACGTTTGCATTAATCTATTTGTTTCTTTGGCAGACCTTCCAGTTTTACTTCAACTTCGTCACGTTTGAATACAAACACTTGAATACAAACTTCCCTCATCCTGACAAGCGTGACATACCCCCTTACTCTGGGTTTTGGTTAAACCTTTCCTATTTGGGAACGTGATACCTACCTACCTTTAAGTCACTAAGCTAGGTGACAAGATATTGATGCCCATATTTGGCCGCCTTATCGACACGACTTTGCCTTTTTGCATTACAGATACCGAAAATCCCATGGGGAAAACACAGTTGAATGAATACTTTCCGGCTGGAGCTAGAGTGGAATGACTACTTTCCTCTCTGATCGACGGTCTGTGATTCTAACCCTAACTAGTCATCATCATCATCATCATCATCATCATCATCATCATCATCATCATCATCATCATCATCATTTTCAGCTGTAATAACCGCGTACTCGTCGTACAGTGGTTGTAGCTGCCACCGTTTCGTTCATCGATGCGCATTGCAAGCGGGAGCTGATAAATTGGTGCTTAAACCGAGCACTGTCAGTGGGCTGTCAAGTGGTGGGTTGGGAAAGGAGCTATGCATTGAATGCTATGCATTGGATGCACGAGCGCCATTGAGGGCACGACTGGGTCATGTCTGACAATGTCTCTAAACATTGACGTGGCCTTGATGGCAGTTTTAGGTTGGGTAACGCTAACTAGGCTTGATGATAGCTCCCATAATCCAGGGCGAAAGAATACAAGTGCCTTTCTATTCATTATAGCAACTAGCGGATAAGGACAATCGATGAACTGTAACACTAGCGGATCAGGTAGTCTTTGTTTGACAAAGATTATTGGACCCAACAGAGTAGTATCTTCCATTGAGATATCACTGTGAGGTAGAACAAAGTTTAAGCAGTCCTTGTCAAGACAGTTAACAGTAACATTGGTTGTCTTTCATGATTCACCTCTGGAACGAAATGCTTCCGACTGTGACAGATGTTTATAGTCTCCGACGGCGAGGGTCAATGCCAATTCATGTAAGTTCTCATAAAAACCTGAGGGTGGGGGTGAATCAAGAAGACTACATCCTTGAAATACTCCAATGTTTCGAGTGGTACTGAATCTGTCACACTGTGTCACACTGTGTCAAACTGTGTACCCTAGTACAAAATCTAAGTCATCAATCGAAGAGTCCAAAACAAAGATGAGGCGGTCTCCTTCCTCCTCCAAAACCCAAACAGATGTAAGCCGGCATTCCGTATGAAGCCAGTTGGTGACCAACTTGAGAAGTCCGCATTGAATTCGGCAAGAATGAATGTGGAAAACTTTGGTTTGGTTGTACAATAGCGGGATGAGGCATCCTTAATACATCTAGGTTCGTCCACGGGCGATTCGGCCCCCGAGAATGCAATAGTTCCACTGACCAGTCAGATGATGTCCTTCCTTTCAATGACAGCTGTCAGTTTGATTTTTTTCTCCTTCCTGCGATTTCAATTGTTCGGCTGCTGAGGAATGTCATCTGTGGTGTCCGGAATAAACTTTGGTTTGTCAGTCCATTATGATCCAGCCTTTCGAAGCTTTCTTCTACCTGGCAAAAATGAAGAGTTAACTCAACTGTGCACTTAGGGACTTATTTCTAAAGTTGAATCGAATGATATTGATGGCTAGTGGGCCTAATGTCTTACTGACCATCAAAAGATCTATTAACACGTAGGACCTTACCATTTAGGTGATTTCTATGGATGGTGGTTGACTTCCTTACCTCTTTTTCATAAAGAAAACTACTCACAAGGTTGCTGAAAGCTCTTCGACAGCCCATGACCGGTTTCACCCTTCCACTTTGGGCTCATCAGGTAGGCGCAAGCTCCGGGTTTCCATCAACCTTATGTTCTACTTGAACCCAAATTGGACTGATTTCGAGAAATACACTCATTTGCAAATCAGTTTGGTTTTCATGAGAGACTCAACTGAATCTCTCATTTATGATATTCTTACCTCCTTACCTCTTGTTTTTCGATTACCTCTTGCGTAATTTAATGCCATTGTGGCGAGTTTCAAATGGAATATATCCGAAACAGTCACTTTCCCCGAAGACGTCTTCAAAGATCAATTAAGATTCATACACATTTTTCGCTTTGATGAGATTTCGCCCGAACCTGAATAGCAGTCAAGAGTGGTATGCACACACAAAAACTGCATGGCCACGTGGATCTGCACTACCAGGCCAATCTTCAGGGCGTCCAGCGCTGATAAACGTTGTTGGGAAAACAATATTCGAAGACGGGTATGCACACAGTCTGTGAACAAAACGGACCACTATACAACTTTGACCGAGGAAACCGAATTCCTGAGGACATCACAAACGGGAGATTCAGCTGGGTTTGGTTTCAAGTAGAACAGAATGTTGACGGAAACACTGGGACTGCGCCTACCTGATCAGCCCCAAAAAGGGCGAAACCGGTCGAGGGCTGTCGACGGATTTTCAGCAACCTTATGAGTAGTACATTACAAAGATATGCGTCAAGCTTACAAACGGGAATTAGCAATGTGTGCACATAACCGCGGAAGACTTGCTCTCTTTTGATGCTTATACGCGCAATTTTTACAAATTTTTCAGGCTACGAAAGGTGTTTCCTGCAGGAAACTACGCAATTTCGGATGGACCACGAAGAAAATCTGTCCCGGTTTTTTTGTGGATTTTATATCCGATCTATTTTTTCTTTTCATCTACACAATAGGTCTAAGTAGGTGGTAATTTACCTCAAAAGGGCATTCGTCTTAGTTAATCCAGTTTATCAAAGTGGCTGCCACACATTCGCATCCGTATTCTGTCTGACAGCTACTGGGGGATCTCTGCTCTTTTCTCTAGCGCGCACACACACACACACACACACGCACACACACGAATGGGAATGGTGCACATGATTTTGTGTGTTTGCCTTTCGCGATTATGATGTACATCTTTCCGTACCGGTAGATTGACAAGCATTCGCTGCATTGTATGATTTTGGCGGCAGACGATACAGCAGCGGTCATGGCACCCGTTTTTGGACCGACGTGTGTACGTGTGCGCATGTGCGTTTGTGTGTGTTTGCTTGCGTGCGCAGTCTGTGCAGCCGGATTGCGCTCATGCGCGTAGGTGTTACTACCGTAATACCTTGGGCCTGTATACGCGCGTCAACTAAGCCTCTCACCGAACGCGATGCTGTCCAGCTGGATCTCATCTTCATTTGTGCAACAAAACAACGTTCGGAGCGGCACGACAACGTAATCATGAAGTTGGTGTGTTGCTTTTCTACAACAGCTGCAACTGGGGGAAACACACTGCAACTGCACCAACGTTGACCGGTTTCGCACTTAGTCGTTCTAACCCACATCAACACAAACACGTACCTATTACACATCGGTAATGCCACACTCTGTACGGGGTTATACAACCCACACTCGCAACCACGCTCGCAGATTCAACCACCTTCAAGGGAAACAGTAAAATTGATTCGCTTTGCTGTGTGTGTGTGTGAGTGTGTGCAAGCAACCCCGTGCAGAGAATAGGTGCCGTTGCACGCTTGACATCATCCTTGCCTGTCGACCTGACCGAGATCTGGGAAGGTCGTATGTGGTTTAAAATCACGGGAATGATATAGTCCTTCAACTCAACGGTGCTGACAAACAAACCATTTGCGCGCATCATATGTCTTGGGACGTTTGTGACAATGCAATATCACCAAGGGATTATTGTGCCTCCCAAATCAGCGATTCACCTCGTTTGAAGGATTGTCATAAATAATTATTCTGGTAAGTCCTGGGTCATTTTTCTTTTGTGGGCTTATATACCTTCCCTACTCAGGTAGGTAATCAAAACTTCCTGCTGTTTCTTGTGGTTGGTGGCCTTGACACGTCTAGGTCATTCCTGCTTTGACCAAATATGTGCAGGACGAATTTAACATTCCATCGAACTAATTAAAATTCTGTTCAATATTTTCTTATAATAGTACTGGGTGGCCTTCCAGCAAAATATGGCTACCCTCTCGTCCTTTTTAGTAATCAAAGGGATACGAGTTTCACGATCCAATCTTAAAGCATATTCCGATTTACTGTTAATCATTGCAAACTGAATTAGAACTCACTCGTTCACTTAAACGACTACACTATTGGTCAATCTGAATGCGGACCGCTGAAATTTTCGATTGTGTAGCTGCAGATTTGGTTGGTTGGATGTCGTGCAGTGCTTCATGAGCATGAAGCTTCCCTATGAACGATCTTCAGAATGGCCCAGTTAGATATGATCCCTCTCAGTAAGGTTGAGACTGGACACCACCGACCATTCAAAATCGGGATTTCATTGATGACCTCCCCAGGAGCGGTGACCGAACTCTGCCAAGATCAGAGTACAGGTCAAAGACCATTGGTCTACAGTCAGTGAGCACAACTCAGCTATCAATATTTCGATATAATGGGTTTGAATTCATTTGGAAAACTACCCTTATGATGTGACATATGCATTGTGATGCCTTGGGAGGCTGCAGCACTACTTAATGTTTCAGTTTCAATAATTTGCTCCAAAAACTCAAACCATGAGTACTTTAGGGCTGTAGCGTGCTTCCTCAAAAGGGGTGTGGCTAACAGCAGCCCCCCGCATCTTGGTCACCACCGCCATCATCTTCAACAGTGTTGTCAGAACAGTCAACAATGTTATGCTACTGACTTCTCAGTTAACAACATATCGACTGTAAATATCCTTGCAAGCAAGTAAAACAAATGAATCCACGCGCGGTTTGCCATCAAATCTAATTGCTCATTTAATTCCCTATCGACCGTTACCATCGCGACTCCAAAATAAAAAGTAATGGATTCAAGTAGAACATAAGGTTGACAGAAACTCGGGGACTGCGTTCACCTGATGAGCCTCAAGAAGGGCGAACCCGGTTGTATATGGTCGAAGAATTTTCAGCAACCTTGTGAGTAGTTTGTTACGTCCAGACAAAATTAATGTTTTTCACTAATTTTTTCACGCACCAGCAAAACTTGCTGTCATTGTATTATCTTATTACATGAAGTCGTAGGAAGATTTTTTTTACTGTGCCACTGATTGTTGGGACTAAGTTATTGCGTAATTAAGTTTACGTAGGCCATATCAACATGGATTAGAGAACGAAAAATCTCACCAGGTTTGTTAGCCTTTCCACATCAAACTGATCTTGTGCGGAGATTTCGTCCTGTAAGTGAAGCCAATCTATGCTGATTGGCCGAGAAGCACTGTACAACTGTTTCATCCTTATTGGGAATCATCAGCAGTGCGCATCTCACGAAACTCCGAAGAGTCTCGAACCCGCGACCTCCCGCCTAGTAGTTTGAACACTTAACCGTTCGGCCACTGGGGGCTGATCAGCAGTGATTACCTCGTACTTGGACAGGATATAGCGCCGCTCATCCTTCAATCATAGGATCCACATCACATCTTGACTGGCCCCTTGAGCAACGACTTCTCAGATGGAAGTTTAACTCATCGGGTGGATGTTATTCTTCCACCGAGCTACTTACAGATTGTTGGAAGTGTGAGGAGATTTTGGATTTTTGTGGAGGCTTCGTCCTGTTGGTGAAGCCAGTCTGCGCTGAAAAGCAGAGAAGCGAGATGCGCACTGCAGATGATTCCCAATAAGGATCAAACAGCCGCACAGTGCTTCTCGGCCAATCAGCCTAGATTGGCTTCACTTACAGGACGAAATCTCCACAAAACTCCCAAATCTCCTCACACTATTAACAATATATAAGTAGCTCAGTGGAAGAATAAACTTCACCCGATGAGTGAAACTTCTATCTGAGAAGTCGTTGCTCGAGGAGCCAGTCGACACGTGTGACCGCGTGATGTGGGTCCCGTGATTAAAGGATGAGCGGCGCTATATCCTGTATAAGTGCGAGTTAATCACACCGCTGGTCAGCCACTCGTGGCCGAACGGTTAAGTGTTCAAACTACTAGCCGGGAGGTCGCGGGTTCGAGACTTTTCGGAGTTTCGTGAGATGCGCACTGCTGATGATTCCCAATAAGGATCAAACAGCCGCACAGTGCTTCTCGGCCAATCAGCCTAGATTGGCTTCACTTACAGGACGAAATCTCCACAAAACTCCCAAATCTCCTCACACTGTCAACAAACTGATCTTGAGTTACGGGTCTGAATCTCACAAACAATTGTGTGAACTGTGAATAAATTTGGTTCAACTGTTTAGTGAGCTTTCTTGTTATACCGTGGTAGAATTTTTTATTGGTTACTCACCTACCGGTCAAATAACGAAGGAACACGCCTGATACGGCCTCCTGCTTGGGTAGAGACGGGCGATAACAGTCTGCCTTCTCGAAGGAGAGGGCTGGTCAACTGGGAGAGGCATGAACGTACACACGAGGCTCAATCAGTCTGCGTAAAACTCACACGCTGAAATAAGGACCGGAATAATCACAGTAGGGGATGGAATGTTGATACCAACTGGCACCTAATCTCCTGTCCAGGTGATTCTGCTCACTTCGATTCTGATGAAGGTTGCCCGAGGCTGAGCACGAATTCCCACATCAAAAACCTCGTATTCCTTCCAAAATTCCAAACTAATCGGTATGCTATGAACCAACACACAGTCTATTTAACTACGGTCCTAGTGAATTTTCATCCTACAGACAACTTCCTTCCTTTTTTGGCCTTTCATTTTCTACCGTTTGACTCAGGCGGTATATTTATCATCGCATAAGAGAAAAGTCTGCCAGCTAATCGGATTAGTGTCGTTGCACAACAGTGAACTTTCAGCCTGTTCAACTTCCTACTCAAATTACAATCGATCATTTCTATCGGGTTTTTTTTCCAATTCGTCCGGAGAATAAAAGGACATAATTTCGACATAATTTCTCTGTTGGCAATCAAAGGCGAAACTAGCAACGTCCAAGTTCAATTTGCTTCTATCAACAGGATTTCCTGTTCAATTGTGACGTGCTCTGTGTGAGGCATTGTCGCAGCCGGAGGTGCTTTGTGTTCCGAGTTTCACTGCAGACGTATCGAATGAATGAGCTAGTTTGTGAAGAATAAAGTTTCCCATCGAATTAACTAAATAGTCTAAATTAGCGCATCATCGCTGCGAGCTGGCTTCAAAATCTATTGCGAACTGGGTTGAAATCTTGATGAGTATGGCCATACGTACCTTTTTAAAACCAGCCCCACCTAACACCCCATTCTGGACGACAGACTAAGCTGATTTGGTGAAATTGGAACAAAGTCCGATAAATTTGTTAACTGAGCTGAAACGTTATCCACCAGCAACTTTATTCCCTCGCTGAACCCATCGAGGCCAATCAGCTTGTAGCTTTCGTGCAAGCGCCATGGCTCTGGACACAAAGACTCGTATCACCACTGTCCATCTTTAGGAAATTTCGTCAAACACTCGCCTTTCAGACAAGCAACCGGAATCGTTACACTAGGCTTTGTTCTACCGAGAGTGACGTCAACACTTTCAACGACTGACCGACGTGAGATGTGCAAGTGATGACAACTTCAAATGGTTTTGAGCACCTGAAATATCTAGGCCCAGTTCGTTGTTCATTGACCTATATACTTACTAAGATAAAAACAAAGTCGGCGAACTGCAAACTAAGCGAGAAAGTGGCATTTGGTAATTCAAAAAGCCTCAAAGGAATCACCATCAGTTGATGAGAACAGCGCGGGTCACAGGTCATAGGCCAAAACGGTCGGAAACACAAGTCAGTACAGAGACAAATATTGTACGGGAGTAGTGAACCACTCATCGTTGAAAACAGCTTGATTGTACCCGACAACAACGAGAACGTTTTCACCTGTTCATACACAATGATTTGGATGTACCCACCGCATGTCAGACGTCTGCAGTCCGACCCCCGACATGACCAATGGTGTGTACGGATGAGCTATGATAAACACCGAGTTTGTTCTGCTATAGACACACAAGACAGAAAGAAGGAGGGCTGCTTTAAAATGGTCAAACCTACTCAGAAAAATGATATTCTTGACACGTTCGTAGATAAGCTTCGTTACTTCTCTGAGAGCAAAAGATATGCCAGAAATCATCAAATCGCCTCGGTCAGCAGACTAAGAGAGACACTTGGAAACAAATACCTTGTTGATCATACCTGAATTACGCATAGTGGAGTGGCAACTTAAATCTGATTTTCTCTGCTACCTGCTATACATTTCATACTGTCATGAAGATGTGTAAGTTATTTTGGGAAGCACTACTCGTAAGGTTGCTGAAAACTCATCAACAGCCCACGA